TTCCCCCCTTTTCCACATTCCAACCATGGCTCGATCTCTGTATCCCAGAACCCTGTTGTTCTCAAGCTGTGCATATATCATTATTTACCTCTGTCTCACTTAGCCCATTGAAACCTGTCTAATTGTTCTCCCAAATTCCAAATATATTTTACTGTGCTGAACAATATATTCTATGCTGTCTAAAACACAGCTAATTTTTTTTTCTTTATTCAACTATACACATTCTGTAATTTTTTTGAAAACCAAGATTAAGATAAAAAATATTAGCATAACTACCCAATGATAAGTACTCTTTCCTCATATACTGAGCTCTTCTCTGGTGGCAATGTTTCTTGCCCTGCTAGCTGCTTCTCTGTACACCGTACTCATTTATAACGCATGTCTCCTTCCTCATCAAGTCCCACAGCCACTCTTTATAAAGAGACAAAACACATTTCCCTGGCAATGTGAAAGCTGAGGTTTGGTCAAAGTCCTCACTGAAAAAGCTTTTTAAATTTAAAGATCATACAAAATAAACCATCTACAAAAGGATGAGGATCCTACACATTATTTTTAAATCACATTAGTTTGTGGACATACAAATGCAGCAGCCTGTCAAATGAGACGCTGGTCATTTTTGGTATTGTTTTGTTCTGTTCCCACCACCCCCCTCCCCCATGGCTCTCTGGGAATGAAGCGTGGGCCCGAGGAGTATCTCAACACTGAGCTCCGGAATTGAAGGTCCTCAGTCTTCCTTCAGGGGTCGGCGTCTCCAGGTCCCTAGGCATTGTTGGAACTAAAGCTAGTCCAAACTACGTAGAGCCAAAGACAGGCACGTGAAGGGAGACAGACAGAACACAACAGAGAGTCTACTACATCAAAAGTGAGAATTTATCCAAAAAAGATTAAAACTTGGAACTGTATATGCACACACACATGCACATATACATGTCTGTACATATGTGTACTATGTGGAAAAGTGGCCAGACCATCAGCAGAACCGTCGGGCCTTCTTGGCGGGCTGTGGTAAAGAGGAACTTCTCAGAACGCACCCGTGGCATCGGCATTAGGAGCCATAGCGATCCTGAGGAGAGAGGAGACGGTGAATTCGCCAGAGCTCTACACCCAGTGTTCCTCACGTGTGTGGCATGTTCCCATCTCCAAAGGGACGTTCTGACTGATACAAAGAGCCCCACGTGCCCCACACTGCCCTGGAACAGAAATCCTCTGTAGGGTACCAGGTCCATGCCCATGGGGCCCTGCCCCCAGCTACAGCAGTAATGGAACCCTTCTGAAGAAATAACCAACACAGGAAGGTTGGAGGAACAGACCCGCCACATAAGCAGAGAGGGCCTTGAATTTTGATATACAAGGCCCTGCTTACAAGATTGAAACGCACCCTAAACATCCGAGTGGGCCAAGTACATTAGGGTATGTGCTTTCACTCACAGGAAAGTGGCTTCTGGATCATTTTTAATTAGACAGGCATGCTCAGAAAGCAGACAAAATGAAGCCCTTAATTAACCACAATCCCTTTCTAATATTGAAAAGATCAGCATAGAAATCTAGAATGAAAATGAAGTAGAGAAAAATATGAACAATGGGCCTAAAGAGAAATGATGAACTTTGTGCCATTGAGTCGGTTCTGACATACAGCGACCCCACAGAGGGTTTCTGAGAGCACCGGGTGGGTCTGAACTGCTGAGTTTGTGGTTACCAGTCCTGTGCTTACCCTGCAGTGCCCCATGATGAAAGCATTAAGCTGAGTGAACTATGGGTATACCTCAGTCTTGTGCTCTGCAGATACAGCGTGTTTTACAAACGGAAGGTTCGTGGTAAGCCTGCGTCAAGCAACAGAGACCTTCCGGTACCTGAGTGGGTGCCATTTATGCCTGCGGGCGCCACTTTGCCAGCAGCTTACTTGGTGATTTTGTCACATTCAGGTCAGCCTCACAGTATTATAGACGTCCTCATCAAGCTAGTGCACACTGCACAGAGGGCAGAGGGAGGTCTATGCACGGGGAAACCAAACAGTGCTTGGGGCTTGCTCTGTTGTGGTCCTTGCCCTGTTGCAGTATTCACTGTGTTTTGGTATTCACCCTGTGGCGGGGGTCTAAAACCGAACCCTCACTGTCTCCGCCTATTAAATCAGGCATAAAGGATCTATGTTGCATGACTGCATCTACATGAAACATCCAGAACAGAGAAAGGCAGTGAGACCGGAAGCAGAGGAGTGGTTACCAGGGAGATGGGGAAAGGGGGAAGTGGGGACTGAGTTTCAGCCTGGGATGATGAAAAGAGTTTTGTGAAAAAAAAAGTTTTGTAAATAAATAGTGGTGATGGTTAAACAGTACTGTGAAAATAACTAATGCCACTTACAAATGGCTAACACAGCAAATTCTCTACTTCATACGTTTATAAAAAATGGGGGGAACGGGACAGAATACCAAAAACTGGGGGGACGTGAACAGAAGCTGCCCATGTGAGGTGGAATTAGGGGTACGCTTCTTTGCCTTCTTACTGCTTCTCTGCATTTTTCAATATAGGAACATCTCTAACAACACCAATACTAATGGTGACTTCTGCCTTTCTGGGGGGCTCTGCAGGACTTGGACCTCCCTGCACCGTGGCCATTGGCACTCACCTGGATGGAAGTCATGACGCCGTTGGCAAAGACTGAGAGCTTCCCCGCAACGGAACGCACGCCCTGCTTGAACTGCGCCATGTCAGGAGCGGTGGGCAGTACACTGCTGAGGTTGTAGTTCCCTGTGTAAACCACACGCAGGCGCCTTAGGCTCCATCTGGAGGACTTCAGAGGACTCCCCCCCACCCCCTTGTGTACCCCTCCCCGCAGTTTGGAGTCAGGACCCGGATTTATATCTCAGCCATGAATGAGCTGAGAAAGGAGGCAGTACTGGGGTTCAGGTCTGACAACACGGCTTCCAAGCTGTGCACCTCTGGACAAGTTCCTCACTCTCCCCTGGGCCGCATAAGAGCCCAGTGCAGGGCAGATAGGTGAACACCTGTGGTTTTATGTGCTCCCTGCCGCCTCTTTTAGTAATGGTCCTCCCTTCCTCTGGGGACTGCCCATCCCTTGTGGCCCCTCCCCCCATTCCCACAAGTGGGCATGTGTCCAGGCCTGGCCAACTGGAGCCTTCGCTGGGAGTCATTTACTGGAGTAGTGAGAGGAGGCTGCTGCCTGGGCTCTTGTGGGGCTGTCAGTGACTGGGTGCCCTTCCCGTTGCCCCCTCAAGGGCTGGGATGGATGGAGGGGCTTGTAGCATGAGACCGAGGCCAGGATCCTATGATGCTGTCTGACTCTGAACCTTCTGAGGTTCAGGAGCTAGTACACTCCCCGTGTTAGCTCAAGTTACTTTGAGCTGAACTTGAGTTGTTTCCGTTTTTATTGCTCCCACACTAACATTACCATTAGGCACCCGTGTAGGTAAAGCACGTCTGTTACCACAGGTACAAACCTTGGTCACAGAACCATACTAAGACACATGCAGGAGGGCTCAGTGACCCTGAAGCGACAGAATCCTTGATCAGACCCCTCTCCAAGAACAGCAAAGGTGGACATGTCCTTCAGTCTATCAGCGACTTACCCACGGCAAGGCTCCCTTCTCCACAAGAGAGCTGGGACTTGTGACAGAGACTTGGAGAAGTTTATGGTCCTTTGTCAGTTACAGAGCAGCACAATCACTTCCCGTCTCCTGAGTCATGGCAAATGAAGGGCCACTATGGGAGGTGGGCACAAGGGCCAGCCATGGCTACATAGCCACATCACAGGCCCGGGGTGGCTGGTTGGTGAGGACCAGAGCTCAGCTTGAGACATAACTGAGGCCCACAGCCAAGTTGGAACAGAGACACTTCCGTTCTGTTCCACGGGGCTGTCCCTCCTCAGAGCTGACTAAGGTCCCTCCCAGGCCCCTCTGTCCTCCCTGAATGAGGGATGGAGGTCCAGGTACCAAAACAACAAGATGGAAGGGGCCGGAGCCCCGGGAGCACCTCACACCAGTGCCCAGCTGCCTCTGCCCCAGCAGGCCTCAGCTGGCCGCTGCTTCCATGTTTACAGCGTCCTCTATCTTGACAAGCTAAGCTCCTGACAGGGTAGGTAACTTGGCAACTAGTTGAGCGAATGACATGTCCCTGGCAAGTTGGAGGCCCCCACCTGCAGTGCCCAGGCTTGGACAGGCTTCAGTTGTGAGCAATCTGAGCAGAGATCTCCCTGCTTGGCAAGGCTTCCCTCCCTCCTGGTTGCTGGCAGGCAGCCATGCCCACACTAAGTACCGTGGACAACTACCCAGGGCAGGCTGGAAGGGTCAGTGGCCATGGAAGCTTTGTCTTGCACTTCAGGAAATGACAGCGTGTGGCCACTTCCTAGCCTTGTGGACCAGGCCAGGCCCCCGGGTCACTTCCCGGAACAGACAGTTTACTGCCACCTAAGGATGTCAGATGACAGACTGCTGATCATTTTGCAGCCTGTGTGTTTGCTGCGTGTAGAGCAGACTCTCTAGGAGCCGCCCTGAAGGAAGTGGGCAGTCTGAAAGCCTCTGAGGGTCTGAAGGATGGGATGAAAGATGGGAACAAGATGGACCAGAGGGTGGTGGGGTGGGGATGGGGGCCATGGGTAGACGTGGGGGTTGTGGGGTAGGGGTGGGGAGCCATGGGCAGGTCTAAGAGTTGTGGGGTGGGGCTAGGTCTGAGGGTCATGGTGTGGGGGTGGGTCTGAGGGTCGTGGGGGGAGGGGAGGCATTGGCAGGCCTGAGGGTCATGGGGTGGGGAGGCATAGACGGGCCTGAGGGTCCTGGGCTAAGGGTTATGGTGGGGATCAGGGACTGGCCGGAAGGGGTCACAGGGTGATTCCTGGGTGGAGGAGTTCCCACTCTGGGGCAGCTGGAGCAGGGGGTGGAGGCTGACGGAAGGCAGGCCTGGGGCAGGTCTGGAGGGGCAGGTCTCCTCCATCAGGGTGCTCATCCCCCTGTGTACCTCCATCACCACCACACAGGGAAGAAAGGTGAGAACGCACACACAGGTTCACAGCTCTGCCCAGGAGATGTATAAGCCATGTGATAGCGTGTGACGTCAGGGGAGAGCGAGCAGGGACCCAGGGCTTCCAACCCTCATTGCGTCATTCCATAGACACTAGTGGGGTTTTCCCTGAGACAGCAGAGATGACGAGGCACAGGCCCTGACCGCTGGGAACTCATGTTCAGGTTGGGGGGCAGTCACCCACAGACTCAGCCCTGGTGGTGACAGCAGGCAGAGGGGCCTGAGCTCGCTCCCAGGGTGTGGCTGAGGTAGAGGATTCAGGCAGCAGAGGTCAGTGAAGCACCAGAACTGAAGGCCCACGGCAGCTAACTGGGCAAGGGCATTGTGGGAAATTACCAGATATGAAGCTGGTCCTGCACTTGGAAAGACCACTCTGGAAGGACGCAGGGAGGTGGGGGTGGGAGCCCAGGCTGGAGCCAGAAGGGCCTGGCCTGTGACGGTGACCAAGGATGCTAGGGAGAGGCTGCGGGTGTGGGGAGGGCACTGGGAGGGTGGGGCGGCTCCAATGCTCTTCAGAAAATTAATTTTTAATAGAACATCATGTACCAATTTCCCTGAAATGGAGACAGTAAGAGAAAACGGATTTACAAGAGGGCAAGAACAATGAGTCTCATGAGGTACAGACAGCTCTGAGACAGACACAGTGGACGGGGATCTGCTTCGATGAGCGAGAGACCACAACTCCTCTGACAGCACAGCTGTGTTGTCTGACAGACCCAATGAGCAGATGGACCAACCAAGCCACCCGACGATGGCAGAACTAGTCTGTGGTTCTGAGGTCAAGGGAGGAAGGCTGAGTGGCCAAGGTGGTCACCCACCCACTTAGGATGCCAATGACTGAGTCCTTAAAGCCCCAGCTGTCTTGGGAGAACCCAGAAGGGGAGAGCTGGCTTTTATGTCTCCTTTGTTCATTGCGGGTCCCACAAAGCTCCCTCTGCTCGTCCATCACTGGGAGCCCTAAGGGACTCCCCTGCCACACCCCAAGGGACCTTAGGACAGATGTGATACCAGGCTGTGGGCACTTCCATGTGTTCCTCATCCAATTCCTCTAACTGCCCTGGGTAGGCTTGGGCCCCAATCGTGTGACCAGTGGGTATACATGATCTGTGTTTGACCAACATGGGGGACAAAGGGCAGAAACCACTTCCCAGCTCGTGCTCTGTCACTGACCACACGGTTGGGCAACAATTGGCACTGGGCTGTAAGCGAGCCGCTTGTTGGAACCACAAGGGTCGGTGTGAAGACACAGCTACAGCCCAAAGGCCTGCAGAGTCCCCACCTCCAGAACACAGAGACAATAACCTGCTGTTCAAGTAAACCAGCCACTTGTGGTCATTCTTGTCACAAATATTGGGAAACCAAGTATCTGCTAGTAAGTGAGGAGTGGCTGGTGGGCTTGAACCTCAGACCTTGCAGTTAACAGTCCAGTGCTTATCCTACTGTGTTGTGCCAGGATTCCATATATCTGATAAGGGGTTTAGACTCAGGCTGTATGAAAAAACTCATTAAATTCAACAACAAAAGATACACACCTACGAAAAAAAAGACAACCCAATTGAAAAATGGGCAAAGGACTTGAGCAGACATTTCACCAAAGAGTATGTGCAAACGGTCACCGGGCTCATGAACAGATGCTCAGTGTCACTAGGTGTTGGGTTGTTGTGTGTTGCTGGGTCATTTCTGATTCACAGAGACCCTACAGAACAGTGGACAGAGCGGGACTGCCCTCACGGTCCCCTTGGCGGCAGCTTTATAGCACAGCTCACCAGGCTTTTTCACCTCTGCACAGCTCAGCGTTTACCCATTGTACCACCAGGGCTCCTTTCATGAGCCATTTTATTGTTCAGTGCCATGGAGTCGGTACCAACTCATAGCTACTCTTCACAGAACAAAACACTGCCCGGTCCTGCAACAACCTCACAATTGTTGCTACATTTGAGCCCATTGCTGTGTCCACTGTGCCAATCCATCTCACTGAGGGTCTTCCTTTCTTTCTCCAACCCTCCACTTTACCAAACATGATATCTTTTCTCCAGGGACTGGTCCCTCCTGATACCATGCCTGAAGTATGAAAGACAAAGTCGGGACAATCTGGTTTCTAGGGAGCACTCTGGTTGTACTTCTTCCAACACAGATTTGTTGGATCTTTTGGCAGTCCATGGTACTTTTAATATTTGCCTCCAACACCATAATTCAAAAGTATCAATTCTTCTACAGTCTTCCTTATTCACTGTCCAACTTATACATGCATATGAGGTGACTGAAAATACCATGGCTTCGGTCGGGCGCACCTTAGTCCTCAAACTGACATCTTTGCTCTTCAACACTTTAAAGAGGTCTTGTGCTGCACATTTGCTTAGTGCAAAATACATCGTTGAATTTCTTGACTGCTGCTTTCATGAGTTGATGGTTGATCTGAACAAAATGAAGTCTGTGACAACTTCAGTCTTTTCTCCATTTATATGGATGCTGCTTATTGCTCCAGTGGTGAGGATTTGTGTTTTCTTTACATTGAGGTGCAACCCATCCAGAAGGCTGTGGTTGTTGATCTTCATCAGTAAGTATTTTAATTAGTCATTGTTGTTGTTAGGTGCCATCAAGTCAGTACCAACCCATAGCGACCTATGCACAGCAGAACGAAACACTGCCGGATCCTGGGCCAACCTCACTACTGTTGCCACGCTTGAGTCCACTGATGCTGCCACTTGGCAAATCCATCTTGCTGGGGGTCTTCCTCTTTTTCTCTGACCCTCCACCTTACCAAACATGATATCCTTCTCCAGCGACTGCTCCCTCCTGACAATATGTCCAAAGTAGGAGAGACGTAGCTTAGCCATCCTGGCCTCCAAGGAACACTCTGGCTGCACTTCTTCCAAAATGGATCTATTGGTTCTTTGGCAGCCAGTGGCACTTTCAATATTCTCCTCCAACACCACAACTCAAAGACATCAATTCTTCTGCAGTCTTCCTTATTCACTGTCCAGCTTTCACATGTATATGACGGTATTGAAAATACCATGGCTTGGGTCTGGCGCACCTTAGTCTTCAAGCTGACATCTTTGCTCTTCAACACTTTAAAAAGGTCTTGTGCAGCAGATTTGCTTAACGCAATACGTCCTTAGAGAGATGCATATCAAAACCACAATGAGCTACCACCTCCTCATTCCTATTAGAATGACTATAACCCAAAACAACAGATGTTGGTGAGGGCTGGAGACATCGGAACCTTCACCCACTGCTTGCAGAAATGCACAATGGTGCTGCCGCTGTAGAAAACAGGGTGCAGTTCCTGAAAAAGCTGACCACAGAACCTATCAGATAAGCCAGCACCCCAACCCTAGGACTGTGCTGAGAAGACCTGAAAGCAGAAACGTGAACAGAAGCCTTCCCTGGAATCTCGCGGACAATTCGGCCAATAGACATAGCACTTCTCCAGGTTCCTGTTCTGCATCCAGTGAAGTGAGTAGAGTCTGGGGTCTTCAGTGCGTTTAAGCGGACATCAAAGATACAAGTATTGGTGTCTGCTCATTAGGAGCAAAAGAGAAAGCAGGAAACCAAGGTCTCAGAGAAAAAGCCAGTCTACGGGCTGCTGGCTTCCTCCATCCCGAGGAGAGATGAACTAGATGGTGCCCAGCTAACAGCACTGCCCCTTCTGATCTACGTTCCAATTCAGGGGCCCCGATCGAAGGGGAGAAAACTGAGGAACAGAACCCCAGTTCTTAAAAACAGTCCACACTTACTGACAAGGTGAGAACAGAGGGTTCCCTGAGATGATGGCCCTGAGGTACTCGTTAAACCCTGAACGAAGACGAGCTCCTGAGAACACGTTTTAGGAAAATAACAGAACTGCACATAAAATAAAGGTATTACTCAGGTGTATGGTGATAAGCACTGGACTGCAAACCACAAGCCCACCAGCTACTCCATGGGAGAAAGATGAGGCTTTCTGCTCCCATGAAGAGTTAAAAAGCCCCAGAGAACTGATAGGGGGGTCACTGAGAGTCAGAATCGGCTTGATGACATTTAACTACAACAACAAATGAGTATGATGTTCCAGTAAAAAAAAAATCTCTATGAACCAAAAGGTCAAAAACCACTGAAAAGCAAACATGATAAGGGGACAGGGAAACTAGGGTCCTGGAAGCAGAGCACAACTAAAAAGAACACGGACACACTGAAACAACGTAACCAGTCACGGAACAATCTGTAAAGGAGTTGTCAAACAGGAACATCATTTACAGTGTACATATTAATCAACAGCACAATAGAAGACAAATAAAACCCAGCAGGATGAAAAATGCATACATTAAAACGTCAATACCACATTTTTTAAAATAGAAGAAATGTTGTTGTTGTTGTTGTTAGGTGCCATCGAATTGGTAACAACTCATAGTGATCCTATGAACAACAGAATGAAACACCGCCAGGTTCTGTTTTAACCTCACAATCATAGAAAAAAACATTCACAGGTCTTTAAAAGGAAAACAGAGCAACTTGTTGAGAGATGACTATCAGACTACCTCAAAGATTTCTAAAACTTTTGAGAAGTTGGACTAAGTTCTCCCCACCAATCCTTCTCTTCAAGGTAAACGTAAATGGAGGATAGAACTGTACAGGGTGAGAGAAGACAGAGGAAGAAGATTCACAGCAGCCCCCCAGTCTATGGAGGCAACCAGGCCCTGATTTTACCTGTCACAGGGCATTCTGGTCCCTGCGTATTAACTCTAGAGCAAAGCCCCTGGTTAAGTCACATCCCCAGAGTATTTATATTAGCTTCATCAGGAGGCATTTCAAATTTAGAATGAACTTATTTTATCTCTCAAAGTAATTATAAAGCCATCATATCATCATTTAATCATCATATGCTGTTGTTCTTAAGTGTCCTGGAGTTGATTCTGACTCATAGTGACCCTGTATAGGGTTTCTGAGGAACGGCTGCAGAGCTTGAACCACCGACCTTATGGTTTAGACCGCCCTTGCAGTCCAGCGCATGAGCCTGCAGCACCACGCCAGGACTCCATATCTTTATACAGTATTTTCAAAGCCGTCACAAGAGCCCGCTCCAGGGCAAGCGACAACAACGTGAGCTAGGTACTGATGTTGATGCTTCACAGATGGGAAAGAGTCAAAGACGAGGAATACAGACTATGTCTTAAAACCAGCTTTTGCTCTTCATTGGAATGCCCTCTAAATAAAAGAGTGGCTTATTTCATAAGAGCAGTCAGCCATAGAACACATTTTGATGGTGAGCCCGTGACAACACAGAACAGGGTCACCCTCGTCTGGACCATCTGGGTTTGGAATGGAGGAGAGGGAAGGGTGAACTTGGGCCAGCGGGGGCAGGAGTGTGAGGTCTTTGGGTGGCTTGGCACCCCTTACTTTGGGACACATTCCCACAGCGATGGCCTCGGACCCACACAGGGACAAAGAACTCATGGGCCTTCTTTGCTCACTTGAAGAAGGGCAGGAAGGGAAAGGGAGCAGCCGACAAGGCCACCTGCTCTCAGCGGATGCTCTGTGACAATCCTGGTGCCCTGCACCGAGCTGCCCCCTGCTGACTCAGGGTGGGGGTGAGTAGCGGAGGAGAGATTGGCTCTGGGACAGTCACAAAAGGGCACTGCCCAGCAATCAGGAAGCTTGCAGAGGAGAACACAGCCTGACAGTGTTGGGGGGCAGACACCCTCTCTGGCCACAATGCACTTCCATAGACAGCTGACTCTAGGCTGCTGCCCATAGTCGCCTCACAGTCTGCCTGGCCCCCAGGCCCCCACCAGCAGAGGGAAGCAGACACACAGGAACTGCCCTCTGTGGCTGGGCAGTGGTCACGTCCCCCAGAACTCAATGTGGAGACCCGGCCACTCCAGTTCTGCCCTGTGGCCTGCTGGACTCTCCCATCTTGGTCAGCCATGAACATACTCGCTCCCTTCTGGAAGAGCCCATGCCCAGCTCCTCCAGGACTGGAGATGAGGGGGTGCTGAAGGCTCTTGTCCCCTGGGGTCTCCCTCCCTTCGGGTTCCCGAATGGCCTTGTGTAGCTCTCCCCTCACACACGGCTCAACTCACGTAAGACTTTCCCAAGACTCCAGGTGAACAGGAGGCTGGAACTGTGGGCCCACATGCTGACAGGCCCCAGCCCCAGACACCTCTCTTCTGAGGTGTGGACCCCAAAGAGAGAGGAGGAAACAGGAAGTTCTTCTGCCACCTGTTTACTCCCTCAGCCCAGGTCTGTGTTCCCTGGACAGTCACCATTTTTGTCTGCTCCACCCCCAGGCTGAGAGGTCTCACTCCCGTGGACTGAGCACCTGCCCTGGCCAGACCCCGTACATCCTGGCTCTTGTTTACATGTCATTAAGGTAAGCACTGGACCCAAAGGTTGGTTTGAATTACAGTCTGCAGTTCAAACCTACCAGCCACTCCTCGGAAACGCTGTACTGAGTCGTCATGAGTCGGAACTGACTTGATGGTACTTAACAACCTAGCCTTCTAAGGACTCCTGGCTGGGCGCTGTAGGATTACTGGGCTGCTCCTCGGAAACCCCATACAGAATCCCTATGAGTCAGGACTGGACCATGCCCAACAACAGCATTAAGATGTGGGTTCTGTCCATCCCACTTTACAGAGTTGCTGACAAAGAGGAACTTGAGGAACCCAGTCTCACAGCAGGGGAGTGGTCAGCATCACACAGCTGCCCCCCACCCCCGCCCCCACCAGTATCCATTTCCAGGGAGATGAGAGCACGGCATTCTGGACCCAGGCATGACTCTGATCCACGTAAGGCCCCAACGACGACTCCTATCTACCCAACATATGGGGATGGGCCAAGGGAGAGGCGGAGGGTGGCAGAGGCATTTGCTAGAGTACATCAGGGAAGAGCTTCTCTTCTCTGGAGGACACAAACAGACCCGCCATGCGATGCTACTGCAGACAGACATGGGGACCGGACTCCTCACACCTGCCAGGCTGCGACCCGCTCCTGTCCCCACTTCCCGCCTACCTGCTGCCTGCTTCCTCTGGTCCTCGAACAGATCAGCCGAGCTTATGGAGGAACTTGCTGAAAGCCTCTCCAGCCGAGCCCTGGTTTCATACTAGAAGAGACAAGGGCAGGCAAACATTATGCTCCAAACGCCACATGCAGTTTTGCAAAAAATAAGTCAGTGGCGAGACATAACTTGCATGTGTTTGTCTGGTGATGCCCCTGGCATGGTGGTGAGCACCAACCGAGGCCCTGCCTTCACACATCATATCTGTCCAGGAAGGCAGACAGGGGGACACTTGGCATCATGGCCAACAAGAGTCAACACCAGGGCAACCCTGGTAGAGATGGAGGGAGGTGCCAATCCCAGCAGCAGGAAGAGGCCCCGGGACTGACGTGAACCCGAGCAGCTTCAACTCTCACACAAGGCGCCTTCTAGGGGCACATCCTGCTGCCACCTGCCCTCTAAGGGGGTGGGCTGGGACCCATCATTCCAACACACTGCTGCATCCAAGGCCAGAGATGCTTCCTTTCCTGTTGGATTTCTCACAACTCCTGGGCTGTGAAACATTCGTAAGATTCAGAATCGGTGTGTTGGGAGGGGAGCCTAAAGCTGATGGCCTGGGATGTTCAACGAAAGCAACTTTTGGGTGTCATTTCAAATCCAGGACACCCATCTCCTTAGCAGGTCTCTGCTCTTCTTCTGCCTCCATTCCTGGGGTTCCTGTTGTGCTCTTGGCCCTGGTACGGGTGCCAGAAGGACAGAGGGGGCAGGGCAGCCATGATTTAGCCAGGGTGTGATGGAGACCCCAACAGTGAGGGGGAAGGCCCATGCTTGGTTTCCCATGAACAACCCTGGGGAATGGGTAAGCAGTAAAACTGAGGAACCCAGAGGCTGTGCCGCAGTCAGAAGCAGGACGAGTAAAGGCAGAGGCCCCAGAGGCACATGGGAAAGCAGGAGTGAGCACAACCATGTCTGACAAAGGTGATGGGGACTCCAAGGAGAGTGCTGGCAGTGTGGGTTCTGAAGGGTTAGCAGGGTCCCCTGCAGGCAGCCAGGGAGAGGAGGAGAGACACAACAATGGAGGACCCCCGCTCCCCACACACACACAGGGAGCTGAGACAGGCAGCCAGGGAGAGGAGGAGAGACACAACAATGGAGGACCCCCGCTCCCCACACACACACAGGGAGCTGAGACAGGCAGCCAGGGAGAGGAGGAGAGACACAACAATGGAGGACCCCCGCTCCCCACCCACAGGCAGCACCACACTGAATCCCAAGGGGTGAACAAATGCTAGTCAGGCTGACTTGGGGAAAGTCCAGGGAAGGATGAGCGTGCGGCCAGTGGGCCTGAGGAGGGCAGGGAGGGAGACAAGCAGAGAGAACCTGACCAGGGCTCCCCTGAGGCTGCTGGACTAGGAGGAGTCTGGGGAGGGATGACCCAACACTCAAAATGGAGCGGCCTCCAAGCCTGGCTCTGTCACTTCCTGTCTGCGTGAACCTCTGTAGAACGTGTTCCAGTGCTGCCGGGAAGGTTACAGTGTGCTCACACATGCACAGCCTGGTCACACGGGGGGAGGACATGGGCGAGGCCATGGGTGAGCGATGGAGGCCTGAGTCAAAGCTAGTGAGCACAACAGAGGCTCTGGGGAGACCTGGGGAACACACTGCTCAGGGCACCTCCAGAGGAAAACACTCTGAGAACTCTTCTGAGGAGGGTGGCGGGGAAGAGGGGCATGAATGGGTTTCCAGTGTTACAAAACACTCTGAGAACTCTTCTGAGGAGGGTGGCGGGGAAGAGGGGCATGAATGGGTTTCCAGTGTTACTGGGCTTCTTGGTTCTGTTTTTAAGAAGAGAGATTATTTTGGTTGTACAAGGAGGGCTCCAAATGTAGAAATACTACACAACCCTTCGATTCCATTTTCCTTGACCATTTTAAAGCCCCTTGTGCAGAAGGCACAAGAAGGAAGGCTGGGAATGGCTGACCCCCTCCCCTCCCATCCCCCAGGTACTGGTAGGAGGAGGACTGGGGGTGCTGAGGCTGGGCAGCAGTGTGTGTGGGGGGGCTGCCTCCAGGAGGGGTGGCCGGGGTCCCTGCTGCAGAATGCAGGTGTGCAGGTGGAGGGGCGGAAGTGCCAAGTGGCTGCTCCTCTCCCCTAGAAATTATTGTCCGCGTCCTAGGGCTGCACAGAGTCAGAACACACTAGGGACCAATTCTCTGTAGAATCGGGAAGCACTAGGTGCTCATGTGAGCACATCGGAATCTGTGGGACAACGCCCTCAGCTCATTCCCATCCTCAGCTTCCTAGGCCACTGAGACGGGCTCATTGTCAGCTCAGCAGATGCAGCTGCCTGAAAAGAAATCTATCTACTCGTACCCCCAAACAGGTGTGCAGACTTCATTAACTACAGGGAAAAATCATGAAACAACAGCTGTGCCAAGTCACCTGCCATTCACTCACAAGACAGTGCGTGTGTGTGAGAGAGCTGGGTGGCTCGCCACAGAGACCTGGGTTCAAGGCCTGGGGTACCAGCTCGCCCGGCCCACACCCCCCGGTCCCAGCACAGCCCTTGCTCCATCAGATTTGCCTCTTCTCAGGGTCTCCACGCCCCACCCCCACCCCCGTGCTGGCACCCTTACATCAGCCTGCGCCTGTCTTCCAAAGTACATGTCTGAGGAGATGGCTTTGACGTTGCCAAACTTCTTCTGCGCCTCATCTGTGCTCTCAGCCAGCTCCGAGTCAGGCTTGCGGCGAGCAGTGGAGCTACAAGGAAAAACGGCCAAAATGGGTTCTAGCAGTTTGAGGTGAGGGGAGCTCTCTCCTTTATAATATAAACACGAGCCATTCTGTGTCTTGAAACCGTGACAGCAGTGATTAGGTAAAAGGGTGTAACTTTCACAAAAGCCTGAAGCGTCTCATCAGAAGCGAAACAACCAAACCACACAACAGTCAAAGGATTTTCCTGTTTCAGTGGGTCTGTTATTTTACATTTCCACTGTATGGGTCAGTTAGTAAGTGCTGAGCCCAGGTTCTTACCGTACCTAGGGACACTGGGCTACAGCATTGGGGTGGGGGCTGTGAAATGTCGTCGGGTCGGTTCCGACCCATAGCAACCCTGTACAGGGTTTCTGAGGAGCAGTTGGTGAGCTTGAACTGCTCTACACATTGTGGTGGTTGGTGGTTGTTAACTGGCGCCAAGTCAGTTCCAACCCGTAGCGACTCTGTACAGGGTTTCTGAGGAGCAGCTGGTAAGCTTGAACTGCCAACCTTGTGGTTCAAACTGACTTTGCAGTTCAGCGCATTAGCCCTCAGCACCATAGCAGGGCTCCAGGACATAAAATGAGTAGGGTGGCCCTAAGTCTCCATTATGTGGGACAATCTCAGGCCACCCTGTTGTCCCTGCTTATCAGTGGTGCCCCCTGAGCCCTCTCAAAGGTCCTTGGTTTGCACAGGAAAGTACACAGTTCTTTCCAGTGCTTACTTGGTCCCATCTAAGTCACTTTTCCCCACTAGGGACGCACATCACATCCTGTGAGACTTGTTTTTGCTTAGGGCATGGACAGGATTAGAGTTAAAATTAGAGTTAGAAATTAGAGTTAGAAATTAGAGTTAGAAATTAGAGTTAGAAAACCAAAAGGGAAGAACACGGTCAGCATTTCTCAAGCTGGGGGAACTGAAGAAAAAATTCAAGTCTCAACTTTCGTTATTGAAAGATTCTCTGGGAAAATTGGTGAATGATGCAGAATGCATCAAGAAAAGATGGAAGGAATACACAGAGTCATTGTACCAAAAGGAAATGG